GAGAACTCAGCAAAAACGTCTTATTCACTTGCATGAACATCGCAAACCTTCATAGGTTTGCTTTTTCTTGCCTATGTAGAGACATACAGGCATATCCTGATTTCCCATTGCCAAAATAACAAAAAAAAAAAAAAAAAAAAAAAAAAAAAAAAAAAAAAAAAAAAAAATTTAAGCTTTAAAGTTGGTATCTAGTACCAACTATGTGTTGTATTGTCAGTTTGTATTTCAAAATGCTTACCATAGCACATCACGCAAACTTCTAGCCACCGCTGCGGAATATATGCTCAAGTCTCCATATAGGTAAATTATAAAGCATATGTAAAACAATATACGCCCGCAATCATTAAAAAATATATTTGCCATTTCACCCAATTCAAACTTTTGTGTCAGTTGATAGTAAGGAAATTGCATATTCTGAATTGTCAAGGGAACGGTCTCGCTTTCTGTATTCCAATATAAATCATTATCTTCTTCATTTGAATTGCGCTTGTAACGTAAGGCTTGAAGAGTTTGCCAGTTTTTTATAGCATTCGCACCCGCCATGGCTTCGATAACAAATGTTACTGTGATATAGCTTACAAGAGCTAATAATATTAACACAACAAAGCTTAGACACCATCCTGATTTGGCGAATACTCCTGGCAGAGTTAGCGCTCCAGTTCCGACAATAATATTGAATATGAAAATAAATCCCACCTGCAATGAATATGAAAACAACCCATTCTCTAATTACAAGTTAGGCGTCATTGTGGCATCGACTTTGTATGGCTCTGATATTGTGTGCGCTTACCAATGGTTATGAACATGTGAAATTAAATAACAAAATATAACAAATATAGGGTATAAAGACTTTTACGTATGTATGTTTGAGTTCTCACCAAATTTGTGTGCGAAACTGAGTTAACAGGTGGAGAACGAATTCCTCTACGCATTTTCTTTTCTTTTCTTATAAAAACTATGTGACCAAACAAAGAGTTAGTAAAAATGTAGTAATTTAGGAACGTTTAGGGTTTAGTGTGAACAAAACTTGTAAATAAAGTTTTCTTTTATTAATCTTTTTATGAGAATTGTATTTCATTTCACTATGAATTGTTATTAAATGTAAATACATATGTGAAATAAAATCAGATTAAAACTAAACCAATACTAGTATTTTTACTGCAAAATATTCAAACTAGTGATGTAAAAAAACATCGATGCATCGACAATCGATGTTCTTGGCGATGTTTTCCGATGTTTTTATTGATACCACTAACCAGAGAACACATAGACCGGACAAGTAGTGTAAAGCGTTTTGCACACTTTTTTTCGGGAGTTATCTCCCAGACCCTTCGTATTTGCTCGGCTCCTCAATTTTTGGGTTCGGGCTACGGAAAAATACGAAAGCACAATCATTTCGCTTCAT